TATGGTGTGTGTGAATGGGAGCTTTCTAGCATGTAGGTAACTGTATGAGTCAGTGGGTTTTCTGTAGAGAGTGGTGTCTAATTTTCCATTGCTGATTTGTACTGTGGTGTCCAGGAAATGGATCTCTCGTGTAGAATGGTCCAGGCTGAGGTTGATGGTGGGGTGTAGGTTGTTTGCATCCTGCTTCAAAAAGCCTTTAAGACTGCACTTGAAAGAGAATCCTCTGAACTGTTATTCATGCTTAAATTCGACACTTTACACCTGAGTCTGAATAAAAAATCTAATTATCTTACCCATTACAAAGATAGTTTCCCCAATTATCACCTCTAATATCATTAGCTCACAGATATTTACCTCCCCCCCCCCATTCCCCCTCTGTTCTGAAATTTGATTTGTCCTTTTCATATGTGTTCATTTTTTTAAATTGTATCCTTTGGTATATATGGTTGTGACAATTTTCTTCCACTATTTGATCTGAGGAAGTGGGTCTGGCCCACAAAAGCTCATCACCTAATAAACCATCTTGTTAGTCTTTAAAGTGCTACATAGTCCTGTATTTGTTTCAGCTAGACCAGACTAACAGGGCTACATTTCTATCACTTTTCTATTGATGAAAGAGACAAAATTTGGAACTACACATAGAGCTCTTCCTGAGACATGAAAAAGTGCTCTGTGTGGCAGAAAGCGTGTCTCTTTCACAAACAGAAGTTGGTGCAATTACCTCACCTACCTTGTCTGTCTCTCACTGAACAATTCATTTATGTCCTACAGAGCCCTGCCTGTTAGATGTTTGTTGAGCATCTAACAAACGATCATCACCCCAATATAAAAGCACTTCTTCACCTCCTTTGGAAGCATCTGAGAAATATTTTCCTCCTCCAACCCAGGTGGGCTAAAACTAACAACTTTTATATGAACACCCCACTCCAGAAACGGGATGATTATGATAAAATGAGCTCTGGATACTAAGCATTCCTGAGTTTTGGTTTGGTTTCTAAAGTCAAAGCCTAACTGAGGAAGTTTTGCAAAACCCAAAACAAAATATGACTTCTTCACTGCCCTGTCTAAGCAAAATCCAGGCTGGGATTTAATTCCTCCTCTGATGGGTATGTTCAGAGCTAATCTTTAAGGTTCAAGAAGAGTATTCAGTAAGAGCACATACATTTTTTGTTCTTATGGTTTTCAAATAATAGCTTTCATCTGGCTGAAGTCTTTGGTTACTGATGTGGAAATGTGTCATTTTTGGAGCAATTTTCCTGTAACTGTGTTTCCATAGTAACAAGCTTGATGATACAAAACGACAGCACTGGGCAAGCAAAAGAAAAAATGATTTATTTTAATAATGCGAGGTATTAAAGTCCTGCAGTCTTTGCTCAGGCAAAATTCCTATTGATTTCTGTTCAACACGAGTCAGACTACAACTGAATTTAGGCAGATAAGAATTGAGGAAAGAGCTTACATCTCATGCTACTGAGTGCTCTTAAAAGGAATAGATAGATAGATAGACAGATAGATAGATAGATAGATAGAGGGGGTGTGTGGAGATAGATAGATAGATAGATAGATAGATAGATAGATAGATAGATAGATAGATAGATAGATAGGTACTGGCTGGATGACTGCTTGAAAGATCAGGCAAAGGAATCTTTACTGCAAACCACTTATAGAAATTAATACCTAAATTATCAGATTTTTCTTCCTTCCTTTCTAACCCATGTAAACACATGTGTCATTTCAACTAGGGAGAGGCCCCAGTCACAAAATTCAGATCCAGATTCCAAACTCTCCAAAAACCTGGTGCATTCAGATTTGGGGCTGAGGAGAATGTTAGTTGAGCCCATTACAGAGAAAAGAAGGGAACAGCTGTGAAACGTGGTAACTGTTTGGGTCCTTTGTTAACCGCGAGTATTCACAAGTAAAGCTGTGGATTCCACTTTTCGTTCCAAATATTGATGCTGTCAGAAATGCATTGGCTATGGTCCGTATGCCTTTCCGATCAGTTGGAAAGTTTTCTGTGGCTGCATGTCAGCTCTGGCTTTTGCAGAGAAGAGCCATTCTCTGGAATGAGACGTGTAAAATAAGTGAGAGTCATGAGGCTGAAATACTATATATAGCTTTTGCTGAGTCCTTTGGTTAGAAGAGCATAACACCTCCACACAGGTTCACATCCAGAGTGAGGAGTTTAACACCCATGCAGACAGTACCACTAAGTACTCTTTGTGGTCCTATAAAATAAAGACAGCATAAGTCAGTCCAGCAACAACAAAAAATCCTCAGAAATCTTTACTGCAGTTCTAGTAGAAACCACTAACTAACCTCTTAAAATTAATCTATAATGCCAACCATCTTCATTCCTGATCTTGCGGTGTGTCTACACAGCAGGACTTAGCTCAATTTGCGTAGCTCATTTTGAGTTATGTCAATTGCATAGTTTGTTTCAAAATTGGAGTGTCTACACAGCACTTATTTTGAAATAAAGACCTCTTCCTCCAATTTCCCTTACTCCTCGTACAATGAGGGTTACAGGAGTTGGAGTAAGAAGTCCTCCAGCTTGACAGTATTTTGACATTATTTCGAAATTACTGCCTGCTGGGTAGATGAGGACTAAATTATTTTGAAATAATGTTGCTGTGTAGACGTCCCCTTGAGGAATAACTGGTTGCGCAGCCAGCAAACACTCCTGTCCCTCAAGGTCTCTGCTGAGGCTGTATAAGCTTGAGACTCTTGGCACAAAGAGAATGTTTGGATCGTTACGTCACCGAGGCTACGTCTACACTAGCCAGCTTTTAGTGACACATCTGTGTCACTTCTAGGGATGTTTAAAAGTTAACCAGTCAAATGTTAATTTTGACCAGTTAACTAGGATCCCATGGGCAAGGGGGCCCGGTCAGACCGCAGCAGCATCTACTCACAGTGCTGCTCCAGCCAGGATGAGTTGAGCCTGTTGTGCCACAGGCAGGGGCTGCTCCAGCCGGGCCCACTATGCCACACCGTAGTCAGGGAGCTGCACTAGCCTAGATGAGCCCACCATGCCATGCCATAGGCCGGGGGGGCTTCAGCCCAGCACAGTGGGTTAACCCTTTACATCCCCAGTCATTACAGCCATGCCACTAAAAGTTGTGCAGTGTAGCCCCTGTCTGTCGGCTCTCCTGCCGGCATAAAACTTCTAGCCCCAAGGAGCATGGTTAGCTTTGTCAGCAAGAGAGCGCTCCTGCAGACACTTGTCTGGCATTTGTCATTGGCAAAACTTTTGTCTTGCAGGGATTTTTTTTTTAAATGACAAAAGTTTTGTCATTCAGATGCCAGTGTAAACATCTCCTGAGTGTCATTGTGTATGGACTGTAGGATATACAGTGAATCATGTCTGAGCAACCACTGTCCTTACAGGGCTTCTTGCCTTAAGTAACCACGTCAAATGGCCCCATGTGTAAGGTTTATATTTCTTCGTAGGCGGACCCTTGAATATTAGGAAAGCTGTATGTGGAAGGGTTTCACTTCCACTTCTTTTTCACTATGGTATGATGTCACTGGAGTGACTTGTCATTTATATCCATCTGCATGAGAGGAAAATCAGACCTTCTGGGTACATATTAGCATTTATGAACGACTAGGCTACTGTATCCCTCGTTTATAGAAACACAGGGTCTGATCAAACACCTGTAAGTCTAATTTTGGTATAACTAGAGCTGGTAACTTATTTTTTTAATTATCGATAATTAGAGTCACCGAGTTGAAGGCCCGATGGGAACATCAGAACATATCATCTGACCTCCTGTATATCACAGGATAAGTATTTGTAATATTTTTGACAACAATGTTGTGACAAAAAATGTGCAGAGAATGCAACATTTTTAAAGTCAAAGGTTTTTTTTCAAGCATATTTGTTTGGGGCAGGGAAGCAGTTTTTCAATGCAAAAATATCCATTGGAAAAAGTTTAACCTGGTGTAGGTATAACTCCACTGGTGAATCAGGATTAGGAAATTTTGACCATATGTCTTTTGAATGAAATTGTTTCAGATGCTGAGTGTACTCTTCTGGACAATTGAAAAAACAGAAAATCATTACATGTATTTTTCAAGGCTGCTTTCAGTAAATCTGTGTAGAATGCATGCTCTTTGGGGCAGGGTCTGTCTTTTGTCCTGTTTTTCTACGTATTTAGCGCAATAGGTTCATATACCAGTGGTGGGCAGCCTCTGGCATGTAGCCCATCAGGGTTCTACGCATGGCCCATGAAAACATTTGGTTTACCATTGCCCATATGCAGGGTTGTCAGATTCCACTGGTTTCTGTCCACATATTTTTTTCCTGATCAGCATTAATAAGTCACACACACGTAAAGCAAAGGCAGGTGAAGTGAGGTGCGTGCTGACTGCACACAACATTGTGAGATCCAACCAAACACTGCTACGGTTCAGGTGGCACACACTGCAAATCTAGGCATGCAAGTGCAGCTAGCAAAACTACCCTGTCTCGGGAGACCATCTTGGTTACCAGTCTTCAACTGAGATGAAGGAGGGTCACTCATTCAGACCCCTCACTAGCATAGGCTGCCCATCACTGTCCTAGACACTCCTACAATAATCTTCATAATAATTAATACATATATTTCTCATTATACTCGGGCTGAACTCACTGTCATACTCAGTAGCCCAGAAGGTAGAAAGTCCTTTGCATGTTGCCCAGATAGGTGCTCCGAGTCCAGCTACATTTCTGACATAGTTGAGGGATATCCCATAACTTCTGTGGAGGGAATTCAGGCCCTGAAAAAATGATGAAAGAGTAACCACTTGTTTTGGGCAAAACCATGAATCAGACCTGACAACTAGCTGGCTTCCCAGATTCTTTTGTATTGTTAATAATACTTATGATGGTAATAATGTATTTACACAGCATCTGTAACCCTGTTGGGTTCCCTAAACCACTTCCCAGATGGCAGGGCTATTTAGCTCTGCAAATGTGCAGGTCCCAATGACAATTATGGGCATTCACCTGTGAGCATGATGGGACCCTTTATGCCTGGTTCTCCTCTCATGTACACCCGTGGAAATCCATAGAAATTCCTTGGGCTCAGTAGAATTACTTTTCTAAAGCCACAATAACTGAGAGGAAAACCAGACTCTAAACCTTTCACCGGTCCCTAAAATGCAGCCACCTATGTCTTGGAATGTGGCATCTGTTTGGCCTAATGGTGCAATAGTTTGGAACTGGAAGCAAAAAATATCACACCTGATTGAAAGTGCAAGGAAGGATTCAAACAAATTGGAATTTGGTTAGGACATGGGGATTAGCACCCCTGTAATCAGCACCAAAGGTACTTTTAAAATGGAGATTTACCATATCACACAGCTGGAAGGGACCTTGAGAGGTCATAGAGTCCAGTCCCTGCCCTCACAGCAGGACCAAGTACCATCCACAGATTTGCCCCAGATCCCTAAACGGCCCCTGAAGGGCTGAATTCACAACCTTAAGCTTAGCAAGCCAATGCTCAAACCTCTGAGCTATCCCTCCCCCAATGACCAAGAACTCAATTTTACAACTCATTTAAAAAACAGTATTATAGTGCTCTAGTGGCTGCCAGTGGGGTGGAGAGAGGAAGAGAGAGAGAGAGACTCTGTGGCTGCGTCTAGATTGCCAAGTTTTTCTGCAAACGCACTCGCTTTTGCAGAAAAACTTGCCAGTTGTCTACACTGGTGTGATGGCGCGTTGGGGGTCCCCTGTCTCCTGCATCCCGAAATGGCACAAACAGACTGCACCAGCCGGTGTAATAGAGGAAGTTTATTGCCTCTCCAGGATACAGCACAGCACAGATGTAATCTGGTCACAGAGCTGGGCTAGGATGCCTCAGGCCCCCTTGAGATGGGGGGAGACTGGGCCCCTAAACTCCAGCCCCTTTCCCTAGGCTGTCTCCTCCATGCTCCCAGACAGCAACTAACCCACACTCTTCCAGCCCTGCCCCCCCAGCCAGGGCAGCATTCCCCCTTCCTTTGTTCCTCTCCATGGGGGGTATCTGGTTCAACAGGTTTGGCATCACCTTTGCATAGTGAGGTTTTCCCTGCTGGGTCTTGCTCCAGACAGCAGAGGTCACCACAGCCCAGCAAGTACCCCCACTACGTCACAACTGGCCACTTGAATTTCCGCAAGAACACTGACGATCTCATGTAAGATTGTCAGCGTTCTTGCGGAAATGCTATGCTGCTCCCATTTGGGCAAAAGCCCTCTTGCGCAAATGCTTTTGTGTAAGAGGGCCAGTGTAGACAACGTAGTATTGTTTTGCGCAAAAAAGCCCCAATCGCGAAAATGGCAATCGGGGCTTTCTTGCGCAAAACCGCATCTAGATTGGCAAGGACGCTTTTCCGCAAAAAGTGCTTTTGCAGAAAAGCATCTGTGCCAACCTAGACGCTCTTTTCTGCAAATGCTTTTAACGGAAAAACTTTTACGTTAAAAGCATTTGCGGAAAATCATGCCAGTCTAGACGTAGCCTCTGTGTGTGTGTGTGTGTGTGTGTGTGTGTGTGAGTGTAAATATAATATATACATTTAAAGTGAGATAAATGTGTAAAAAAACAATGTCACAGGATTAAATTCCATTTGTATTGAGTTTTACTTTGACTTCAGTAAATCTAGGATTTAACCTAGAGAGGTGTAGAAGCAAATACCATGTATAACTATTATTTGTCTTAGTTACCCTTTGATTATTGACCATGTCCTCAAGTTGGTTTAAAGTTGGAAAAGTCACCCTGTTCATCTTGGAAACAACACACATCTTCTTGTAGGGCACGTGGTAAGCAACTATACCCTGGAAAACACAACCACAAGTTTCAGCAAATCTTTTCCTTTAATTGCCAGTTCATTTATCCTATTTTAAAGACTCTTGCAAATCAAGATACTTGGGATTTTTACAAGCTGCTTCACACTTGCACTTTGCTTCTTGTTTGACAAGAAGCAGAGTTCAATGCACTGGATTAAATTAATCTCTTGTGTGACTCTATGGATTTCAGTGCAACTATGCCAGAGACATTTGTGCAATGTGCTTGGCTTCTAAAAATACACTTATGCAACCTACAAACCATCTTACGGATTATGCAGCAAACGACAGTCTTCCTAGTTCAAATGACATTCCAGAAAGATATACAAGACATCTGGGCTAAAATCTATTTACGTTTACACTGATGAAATCTGCAATAATGTCAGAATGTGACTCCATCTGACCTTTGTATGTTTTTACAATCCACTGTCTTTACTGTGAATTAACTTTGAACATATCTCAAATAGATTAATTCCAAAGCAGTGATGGTGGGGAATACCAATTAAATTAGAGATATTTTGGCTTACGCTTCTTGGAATTTAATGTAAAGACCTAAATATTCAGAAATCTGCTTGGAAAATGTAAGTATCTCTAGGGAAAAAGGCATTTAGTATTTAATGTTCCAGGAGATTGCACATCTATTGCACGGGTGTGGAGGAGACTGAAATATGCACTTTACTCAAATGCCTGGCAGCTTTGTTGACCACCAGGGACTACCTTGCCTTCCCCCTGTTCCCTTTGGGATGGCTACTATGGCCAGGATATTACAGAATGCCAGCAGAGAGCACTCCTTGCCCTGAGATAACAACACTCCTTTACGTAAAGGGCACTAAGGCCAAAAGCTCCCAACCCCACCTTATACCATGTACAGAGGTCAAGCAAAACCCTCTGTGGTCACACTGCATGTTAAGGTTCCAATTAAAAATGATTGATAAAGGGTTAATAAATGACTTGTCAATGCTATAAGCATGTTACACATTTGAGTAGCATGCAGAAGATTGTAAGCACATCATTTGAAGGTGCTATAGATGGTTATAATTCACCTATTGACCCTTTGCATTCTGTAACAATCTATGGCAACTTATTAACCATTTACTAAAACTTCTACTATATTAATCTTTAGCAAACTATTTATAAACTAGCCAATTAGCCCGCCATAAAACAGGATTTTCAGGTCTTCTCTCCTGAGCTCTCTCACTCTGTCTTTCTCTCTTCCTACTGCCTCCCCTTCTTTCTCTCAGCTCCCCTCCGCCTCCTGCCTCTCTCTCCCCCCTTTTCCTTCCCCTTCCCTCTCGCCGTGGCGCTTGGCTGAGGGCTGCCGCGAGGGAGGGGGACGGGGCGGTGATGTACATGGCTGGGGCTGGAGCCGTGTACATCACCGCCCTTCCTTCCCCTTCCACCCCGGGGGGAGCCCAAACAGCCCTTTGCGCTGCTGGCTCTCCCAGAGGCCTGGCTGAGGGGCGCAGCACTCAGATGAGTGCCACAGCGGGAGGGGGCACTGAGGTACACGCCCCGCCCCCTGGCTGTGTACGTCACTGCCCTACCCCCTTCCCCTCCCTCCGTGGCGGCTCGGCTGAGTGTTGCACGCTT